ATCATTGTTAGTGTGATTTCCTTCATATATTACTACCGGAGTCCAAACATTTTTGTCTCTCGTCAGAAAGTGCCTCCCGCGTTCATGAACAGAAAAACTACCGATCACCTTCCGGTAGAAACGTGTCGGACCCGTACTTAACATGGCAAGAGTGAGCCCGGTATCTGTTGAACTCATTTTTTGGGGTCAACAAAAAGTAATAGATTTTTTTACCATTATATCTAGAATTTTTTCAAATTGCAAAGAATTTTTTTTTTTAAAGAATAAAGCAATTCCATTTTGTCAAGAAAATGGATTCATACCACTTTGACAAGAAAGTCAATTCCTTAAAAACATGGAAAATGAGTTGATGTGACACAAGCAAAGAAAGGCAATTCCATGACGAATTTTGTCAATCAAACAAGTTAAAAAGTGAGAAATGAAATTCATTTTCCATTTTCATTGAAAAATTAGACTTATCAAACACAACCTAAGTGATTGCAAGATCTCAATTCTTCGTCCAATACTGTCCTCATTAATTGTGCTCATCACCGTATAGTGTAGTTATCCATATATTCGTTGTAGTCGAGACAGTAGAGGCTTATGTACGATTTTACCCTTGACAAACTTATCAAATGAAGGGTATATAAGGAATTTCCACAAGCAATCGTGGCCGTTGAAGACATAAGGAAGTAGCCACGTGTCATAATTCTAAAATTTTATAAAACTCACAAACCAAAATTCAATTGCAATTGCAACAATTTATCAGGTAATTCTCCGTTCAATTCACAAGGGAAGTTCTTCTCTCTCTCTGCCTTTCATTTTAGACATTGTAATCTTTCTTCCTAGGATCGTTCTTCAATTTGGTTATCTTAGTAATTTTTCGTAATTTTTTTTTTTAAATTTTGTGATTATTACCATCATTTTTTTTCTTTCTTTCTCCAAACTCATATATGTAACATGCAATGTACGTGTTTCTGGTTTGAGTGCGTAATCTTGGTGGGTTTTAATTAAAATGTAGAATGTAGTTTTAAATATCATTGATCAGTTTGTAATGCACGTCTCAAGATTAGGGTTTTGCCCCTCTGTTTGCAGGAATTACAAGTAATTTATTGAATTTTGTTTGCTGTTTAATTACGGAGGTGGAAACTCGGGAGAACCTGGTACAATTTTTTATGATAAAAGGTGAGTTTTTAAGTTTTGTTTCCATTTTTTGTGTTTTGAATCATACCATTGCATGGGGGGGGTTTGTAATTATCTGTTTTTATTTTTTATATTTTTTTTGTGTGTGTTTTGAGTCATTTTATTCTTGCTTCATTACCGTAAATTTTTTAAATATATAGCACTCTGTCTTGTTTTTATGTTTGTAACTACAATTTCTTAAATATAACTCCATGAAAAAATGTCACCGTGTATTTAGAGAAACGTTGCTGCATTTTTTTTTCTGAAAAGATGTAATATGTTATTTAAATTGTTTGGAAGGTTGTTTTATTGCCTCATTTGGTTGAAGTGTGTGAGAATTCTTTAAGCTGTTCTCACTATAGGTACATTTAGATTTAGGAAATCTCGAAATAATTAGAATTTTAGAAGTACAGAATCTGAGCTATGGGGGTTCCATTAGTCGTGGATGTTATTGGGTTCAGCATTATCTTATTCATAAAACTTCCTATTTTTATGTTTGACTTCTAGATTACTGAACTTTCGTGGTTATAGTTACTTTATAAGTGTGATACAACAGTTATTAGAATGCATTTGTCACTTTAAATGAGAGGAAAGATGCATGGGACAAGTCAAATTTTATTTGGGATAGTTGTTCCCTTGTTGAACTTTGGCTTTTACTTGTAGACATGTTGTGTTCTGTACCTTTGGACTTTTGTCTTGCCATTAAAGTTTGGGGAAAGTTAAATAGTACTTGTATTTATTTTGTCGGATCCCCATTTGTTGTACATCTATGGTTCAAATATTGTGCAAGTCAACGGTTATTTGAATTTAATATTAACGGTAAATGAGAGAAGGCATATAGGGCAAAAGTCAAAGTCTTGTTTTAGATGGTTGTCTTTCTTTGTCGTGGCTTTGGCTTTCACTTTAAATACTATTTTTCCTGTTTTGTTAGACTTTTATCTTGCAGTCAAGTTTAAGATATCTCCTTCTTATAGGAAACTATATAGTCTGCACTCGCAGTTATGATAACAATGTTGCACGTGTTTATAATGTTACTTACACATGTTAGCTTGGGAACTTTGATTTGATTTTCAAGTCCGAAAAAAGACGTTGAGGCATTTGAATTCTTGAGCTAAATGGAGACTGTTTATGGCGGTTTAGCTAGCTAATTGTAGATGTAACACGACAAGGTTATTTATTCTTTGAAATATAAGACAAGCATGCTTTTATTGTTCCATTCTTGTTAGAAAAGAGGAGAGAGTGACCTACATAAGTTGATCACAAGGACTGAAATCAGGGAGTGATCCTTAATAAAGAAATTATTTTGTCATTTCAGTTTGACTTTTTTTTTACCGTGTCTAGGTTATTTTCCCGATGAACTGGAATCAGATAATCTCTATTGTTTATCATAATGAGTTGGAATGAACTTATCTTTTGAACCTTTTTTGAAGGACTCTAAAGGTCAGTCACTTTGTGAGTCGATTCGTGGTCTTTTCTGTCACAAGTTTTGAGTTGGCTAACTTTGCTGGGATGATTTTTAGTTCAATAACAAGTAATTATTTAATATGGCTTGAATTTTTTGATTAATGCATATTAGATTTGATGCAGGCCTCTTGCATATGGGACACTGGAGCACACAGTTCACTGGCCATAGCCATTTCCATCCTGAACATTGCATCTATTATGGGAGCTTAACACATTTTCCTCAACCTAATGTCCACTCAGCGATTCCTGATCTGGGAACTACTTCTAATTTTAATCTTCAACATATACCAGAACCTCATGATAGTGCTCAATTCTATGGGATTACACAGTACAATGGTGCGCAACATCAGCATCCAGTCTCGAATCTTAATTTAACTGTTGCTGCACCAACTGCTCTGTACTATCCATATATGGCACCTCCATATGGTATTAGAGATATTTCTGTTCCAGTAAATAACGGGGCACACAATCAGTTGTCACTTGCAAGCACTCAGAGAATCGTTGGTGTTCCGACAGTCAGCTATGGGAGCAACATTGCATACATGGATGGGATCAGAGGTTCACTTAACAGAAAGAATGCTGAAGGGGTTCCTGTAAATTGCCAGTATCACAATGTTTCAGCAGGCTCTAGTTCTTCTGTTGCTCCTATGACTGTCAGGCCAGCAGAACATGATGTTGCTTCATTGAATGGTACTTCTTTTCAACCAACTGAGCATGGATCGAATGAACCGATGACATCAATGTTGGAAAATGAATTTCAGAGAAGTGTGAGGAACAGATCTGGTATTATCCTACCTGAACCTGTCCTGGCGAATAACTTTAGCCATTTGATTCAAGGAAGTTACTTCCCTCTACCTGTTCAGGTTCCTAGCACTTTTGTGTGGACCCAAGCTCCCAGTATACTCTACATGCCTGGTAATTGAGCAGACATCAAGTGTTTTTTTTTCCATCGATCCATTTTGAATTTTTGTCTCCATTGTGATGATCCGCTCCTTCCGTTTCTTGCTCAGTAAGTGTGAATGGAGCTTGTGTTGAAGCTGGGAATGTGGGCATTCAAGGATATCAAGTAGCTGCTGGTAGCACAAATGCCTCTAGTTCTCATCCTTCCATTCCTCAAGGCCACCCCAATCTCCATTATCTACCTCTACCTATGCAAGGGATTGGAGGATATAACATTAACTTCCCTTCACAAGTGGCTACATCTTCATACCGAATCTCAACTTCTTCAAATACCAACAGCAGTCCTTATCAGGGTGTTATCGGTGCAGAGTTGCTAGCACCTGTTCCACTAACAGGCTTTCAGTTGTACCAGCCGCAACGAAGAGAAGTCATTCTTGATCCAAATGCATGGCATCAAAACCTTCCAAACTTGAGACTTCTTTTTGGTTTTTATGCTATTTTCCCCTTTCATCTATATCATTTGTGTTTCTGCAGTAATCGCTACATTGTTTGCTAACTGTGTTTGTGTTTCAAATTGTGATATTTATTTAGTCCGTTTGCCATCGGCTGGCATTTGCAGGAAATGGCCATGCTAAACATTCCTGGCTATCGTGAAGCTGGAGTACTCATTGATCAACACCGGGATATGCGTCTAGATGTAGATCGCATGACTTATGAGGTGAGGAAGCTTTATATGTACTTATTATGGCCTATTACTTGGGGAAGATTGCTCCATGCTACCAAAACCTTGCTTCTTGTTTAAAGGATGGGGACCAACGGTGCAATTTCATTAGTTATTGTAGAGCGGTCTATGAATGGTTGTTTCCTCATACAGTCCAAGCCCGTGATGTGATATTACTTACAAGTCATTTTTCTGAGTTCTAACATTTTATTAATTACAGGAGCTTCTTGCGCTAGAGGAACAGATTGGCATTGTAGGCACTGGACTTTCTGAAGAAGACATTCAAAACAGGTTGAAAACAAGAACTTTCTCCTCATTGGCAACATGTTTAAATCACAAAAAGGCAGCACAGGTGGATCAGCAAAGTAATTTCTGCGTCATATGCCAGGTAGTAATTTATCCTCAAGACATCTGATCATGAAGATGTTTGGTTGGCATATGTGATGCAAGAGTAACAATCTACTAGTCCTGTACACATTGCGGATTATATGTCATTCTCTCTTGCCATTATGATTTTGCTTTCAGTCGTTATCTTTGTCGTATATGTACTTGAGGACTCACGAGAAACATTCTCTCTGCTTCTGGGATATCTGCTTCGAGTCTTGGTGTTTTCAATATTATATGAAAAACGCTTTATAGTCTTGCATTTGGTAAAGTAACAAGGAAATATGCTAATTACAGGACTAATGACTTGCATTTTCTGTTTGCTGGGGCTGTTTGTAGGTTGATTTTCAGGATCAAGAAAACGTTGGAACTCTCAACTGCGGGCACGAATATCATGTAGACTGCATAAAGAAATGGCTGCTCATGAAAAATACTTGTCCCATATGCAAATCCAAAGCATTAAAATAGAGAGGAGGATGGCAGTCGGAAGAAAATTTTACTTTATAATCAGGGATAAAAACTTTTCTTCTTCTGAATGTAACATATTTTGTGTACATTGTAGAGATAGTCATGTCAACATGTTTGAAACATTTTCTCCTCTCTCGAAATGTACAGACTCGTTTATTCGAGTATGAATGTACTTTTGCTTAATTTGCTTTAGGATATATGCAGCAGTTGAATGTTGAATCAAATCTTAAAAGGTTTGGAATGTGGCATTAGTTTGTTCTTTAAAGCGCTTGTCAAGTTGATGAATATTTAGCATAACTGGTTGCACCAAAGCTACACCACCCAATTAATTGTAAGGTGAAATAGATGCAAGTGTGCTAGAGGTGGCAAACAGGCCAAGCAGTTCGTGGGCTCGGCTAATCTCAGCTTGATCCATGGGTAGTTCGAGCTTGTTTGAGATGAGTCATGAATCGAGTCAAGTCCACATTTTTTTTCACACCCACAAGCCCAAACGAGCCGGCTCGTGGGTCGGCTTATTTTTGGACTTATTTTTTTATTTTCTTACGGAAATTGCTCTTTTTGGACTTATTCTGTTAAATATTTTTTTTAAAAAAGAGCTTGCTCATGGGGTCGAGCCATAAGATTTGAACAAGAGCCGAGCCAAGCCTTATAACTCAAGTGTCTACGAGCTGAATCGATTCGGCTCATTACCACTCTACAGTGTACTTACATTCCAATAGCTTGATTTAAAACTTGAATACTGAGAATTGGGCATATATGAAAATTAATCTCAAAATATTTGAGTTGTCAAGTTTTTTTTAGTACAATGAACCAAACATTAATTGAAGAAAAACGTTGTTTGTACAGCGTTCCTTTGACAGCAAATGTCACAGCCCCCTCACAAGTGTGGGGCCCGTGAATTTTTTATTCTGTGTGGGGCCCCCTCTCATGAGAGGGGGCTGTGAAACTTGCTGTCAAACTTGCTATGACTGTAGCACAGTTCTTAATTAAATAGATAGTGACATCAGAAGAGATCAACAAACTACAATGAATCATTGGATCGGTAACTTGAGACTAGATAGAGCAGCAAGCGACCTTCGAAACGTCATCCTTAGTATCAACCTTTATCGTTTGTCCCTTCGGCAAGCTGCAGGATCATCTCCGATTTCAATATCTTTATGATGAATTACATGATATATTTGAGTGAATAGTTCTGTGAAAGCATTCTCAACATTCATAGACTCGAACACAGACGTCTCCATAAATGTGTCCTCTCACTCTCAACAAAACCCATGCCATCCTTGGTGGATACAGCACGAAGGTCACTCTCAACAATATTTGGGTCCGCATGATCTCGGAGTTCTTTTAACTATCTTTCAACATTCTCGAACGTGACACGCCGTGTAACATCATAAACAAGCAAAATCTCCCACAACCCCGCGGTAGTAAGCGCTAGTGATTGCTCAGTATCTTGAGACGAATAAAATATGTTAAATTAGCATATGCTTGACTAATATTTATAAATTGGTTATAATCGAGCAACCCTCTTTTTATCCACACACTTCATGAAACTCATAAGTATTGCCCACTTACACGTCACTCATTTCTACCCATTTATAATTTAAACAGTTCATAAATACTTCCTAAACATGTTCTTATAGCGTTGGGTATCTTTTCTAGTTATGTATATGGATTTTAACATAGAAATTGTTTGTTATTTACACGATAAGATATAAAAGGTTATATTTGGGGTGAACCGTTCGATTTGGACGGTTTTTGGCTTATTTTCCTACCAACCTATTGAAAATGGTTTGTAATGTTCTTTCAAACCAAATCAAACCAAAAAGTTTCATGTCCCAAACCAACCCATATTTTTTTTGGTTCTGTTCGATTTACCATGATTTTGGCGACATAAAATAACATATTTTAATCAAGTGAAAACATGAATATATTGGTGTAAAGTCTACATACAAAGCACAATTTTTTATTATTATAAACATGAGTATTATAATATTAATATATTAATCTATATACAAGTTTAAAGCAATGAAATAACACAAAGTTCTGCCATTGATGGAAGATTCCAGATTCCATTCTAAATAGATAAGGAGAATAAGCAATCAATAATACTAAAACGGTACCGTTCTTATCTCGGTGGGTCTTGACAATCTTATCCTCGATGTTGATATATACTGCACATGGCGAATTCTACGCCGATTGTTGATTTAGACTCCAAATTGAACTCATTATGCGCAAATCTCGATGAGAAATTGGATTTTTTGTTAGATATTTTTCATCATTTTGCATGTGTTATTTTTTTTGTTTTGCGAATGTTTTGTCGTCCCGACTAGTGTTTGCCGCTACGCAACGAGGATCGATCTACCCGGTCAGGTAGGGGGGTCGAGGGGGCAGCGTCCCCCGTGGGGGCTCGGGGGCAACGCCCNAATTCGTTATTTTCTATTATTCTCTCTTCTCTCTTAGCATCATGAGTTTCATTATAAAGTGTTTTCTTGGTTTGATCAAATAGTCACAATTTAAATCAAACGCCTCCATTGTATCCTGAGAGAGATTTTCTATCATACCCCGATCGTGATTTTGTTGGAAAGGGGAGAAACATTTCTTAGAAGATAACGTTTTTTTCGTGCCTTATAGTTCATTAGTTTTTTTCCAGATTTTATTACATATTTCCAACATTTTTCGACTCCAAATTTTCGATCAAAAAGTAATTGTAGTCCTCCGTCCTGCATCCCCGTCATTTCAATTAAATGTTTGTCGTCTATATGCATTTGTATGTAGTTATATTTTAAGAAATTGAGGTCAAAACTCCATGTTTATTGGCCGCCGGGGTAGAGTGGGTGCCTGGTGGGGCGGAGGATTAGCGGCAAAATCTTGGAAGGAAGAAAAGACGTGCTGCGAGTAATTCTACAATGGGTTGGCAACTTATTACGGAGTCGCATGAAACGAGAGACATGTTTGGCCAAGCATTAACAAATTATGTATTTTGGTGAGAACTTAAAATTAATAACTTATTTTCAACTTACTTATAAATAGTTATTATTTTAAAATTGTACTTGCAAGAATCTTCTTTTGGCTTTTTCATCATACATCTCAATATCTTGTCGTGATAATGGAGATGCAATTATTTTTTAACCATTTAATATATATTTCTCATTAAAAGAGATTTACTTAAAATTCAATTTTACTATCTATCCACTTAAAATATGACACGTCACCATAAATTTATAAATAGAATATTTAATTAATATTAACAAACCAAGAATTAGTACTTAAAGACCTGTTTGATAAGACTTTAAAAAGATTAAAATTGTTTTTGAAACTAAAAAAGTTGCTTCTGAATATATTTAAATAATTTTCTGAAAGTGTTTTATCTGATTAAAGAGTTGCTATAAAAAACTTCAGAATAATCTTCAAAAAAGTAAAAACCTGCCAAACATGCACTAAGTGCTCTTAACCAAAGGATAGTAGAGATTAAATGCAACTTAAAAAAGGAATTAATTAATTATTTTCGCATTAAAATAAAAACCAACAGAATTCAGAATATGCCTCTGTAAGAAAGAAGAAAGCTCCACATTATTTTCCTTCTCCAAACACTCAGCAGCCTTTACAACAAACTTAAATTCCCGTCCGTAAAGATGCGACGCTGCGGCTGCTTTGTAAGTCAAAAGCTCCAAATCACCTGTTCATCGTCGCCATAACAAACCATAAAAAATCGAGCATTGAGCTATAGAACAGAAACTACACAGTAAGAAAACTTGATTACCAGAAGCAATATCCGAGGCAAGGATGTTATGACTGAAATGGCGACTAAGCCACCATCTGCAACGGAGCCTCCAATTTTTCCCGGATTCACTGTTGGTAAAAATTGCCGGAATCTGGTTAGAATGATCCAGGTGAATTTGATTTTGCCCATTGTCGCCATTATAACATGCAGACATTCTATCTTCTGCACACTGACAAAGGTTCAAGAAGCAAGATGCTAACTCCTTCCACACATCGCATTTTGCATATGTAGCATCTAAGTGTAACGCTATCATTTCTGCCAGTTTTTCAGTGTCATAATACCCTGCCATTAAGTATACAAACAACTTAATTTTTACATGAAAGTTAGTTTCAGAAACGTGGGCCCCCAATTATCTTGTACAGTAGTTGTACCAATAACGAATATAGTAAAATAAGGCAGAAGACAACTCACGGAATTTCATGTTATATAAAATGACATAACGTAGGATGCCTAACTATTCAACATTAATCTTATTAAAAAGTTGTTTGGGTAACGATACAAACTCCATGAGACCTTCAGAAAAATACAAGTAGAAATCAATATCATACCCCGTTGATGCATGACCAGAAGTCTACCCAATGAGTCGTTGCATGTTGGATCCTTCCTCATGATGTCCTCAAAGCATGTAGAGAGTTTCACATAGTTTTTACCATCAAAATGCTCCAAGAGAGCAGCTTTCAACCTGCAACAAATGAATCGACATGTTATAATTACACTTGCATACATGCACATATACATATTTTTTTATATAGAAATACATAATTACAGCAGTCGAGAGGACAAGAAATCAGCTAGCATAAAGAAAATCGAGAACAAAATGTATCATTCCAACTAAAAATAATTAGAGAAAAAGAAACACTCCATAACTCAGAAACTCTTTGCTCTCTTTCTTCAAAAATCACGATGCTTCTCTCTGTCCAAATTACCCAAACTGAGAAAACCAAGATTGGCAACCTTTTTGACAATTCAAAAAGGTTTCAAGAAATATTCTAAAGGATAGCCAACAAAGAGGACAAATCTAAAATCTCACTACCATCGAGTTGTACTGGAACTGAAATTTCCAGTTCGTCGTTTCATTTAAGAGATGATCCAACAGATATAATGAGAACAATTTAAGCAAAAAAAGGTTGAATAGTTGATACGTTCTATTTATTGATGAGTTTGAAGAGACTTTCGTTGAAATTGTCATTTAACCCACTTCCTAAAAAAGATCCTCACGACAAGTGATGTTCACATGGAATTCTGATGAAGAATTAGTTGTATGGATTTCTGACGAAGAATTAGTTATACTTGATGATTCCCACACCTGAAAATTATGGAACTGTTGCTACTATAACATCCCTTCTTACAATATCTTGGTTATGTTAATTGTTAAAGCACCAGTACTACAATCTCACTAACTAAATAATTGCTTATAAACTGTAGCAACCGTTTGATTCCCTTATTCGTATCTCAAACTGTATCAAATTATTATTTGAACGCCAGTGTAAGATAGTTCATAGTCACTGCAGTTAGTTTAGCATCCTCAGTAGTGACAATTGCTATTTTGGAAAAGAAACTATCACCTTAACTGGAGAGCTGTATCTGAAATTTGAAACAATTTTTCAAGTTCATCAAAGGCCTCGTTGACCAGATCTCCAAGAAGCAGCATCTGCCAACATAACAAATGATGGAAACTCGGAGGTTTAATTTTAGACAAATGAAGAACCTGCTCTATTTAGAAAGAAGAAAATTGTGTTTGAATTGGAAAACTAGTACGTAACCAATACATGTAAGCGCTATGAAGCTATTTGTCATGACTAACACAGCTGGCCAACTACAACTGTCCCCGCTTCCTTTGTTTTCTCTTTTTTCTTATGAAGCCTATCCATATTTCTACATTCGTAGCCATGTAACTCATGAATAATGCTACTTGTATATAAAAGTTACTTAATGGTTTACATATAGATGCGATATCAAAATAGAGAGAGGAAGTTTTTTTTTTTTAATTTGGTTGAACAAATTTTGACCCAATCATATCTCACCACATCATGTGTACGTAAACATATTATGTACGTGTAGCTCAACCAGTAACTTTTTATATGAATGGAAAGCTTTGTTGCTTCAAAAATCATTTCGTAAAAGTCCAATTACTTAAGAAATAGCATAACCTTGTACGTGCACAAATGGTTATCGGACCTTTTGACTTTTGAGTAAAGGTAGCACTCCAGAAAAAAGGAAGTGGGGGAAAATAGTCAAGTAGCGGATCTCAAGTTTATTTGAATAAAGGCTTAGTTTGTAACTATTATTGTTAACCATCTTATCTAAAAGTTTAAAATGTTAGAAAAAGATGCATGTAAAGTTCAATCTTTTCTTCAACTCGCCATCTTACGTGTAAGCTAGGTTCATTTTTTTTTTAATATCAAACACATGACACGTGCACAATTTTTAATAAACAGGTGCGCGGAGAGACTTTAACCCAGATTTTTGACTGGTCAAGATATCGTGTTATCATCTCATCTAAAAATTTAAGTCGTTATAAAGTGACCATATGTATTTATTTAAATATTCTTCAAAGGTATTGTAAGAAAATACATAGCTGTATAAGGACTGGTGGGTGATGTTTAAAATCTTAGATAGTTTTTCAGAAAGCAAATCAGAATTCTACACATTTTCAAAAATAAATAAATAAATCATTTGTCGAATATGACAGACAATACTACATCAAACTGCAGTACCTGTATTAAAGGATGAAAGGCCTCAATTACGGGCGGTGTCGAGTAAAGAGCAACGCGTAAGTGCTTCAACGCATTCTTATAGTGATCACTGTGCAATTGCCTGTGCTTGTACAAAGTATCCTCCAAATTTTCATGAGAGTCAGGCAAATGTAAAGGCAGTAGCCATGGAGGTAGACCTACATTTTCAATGAAATTAACAAATATTTCTTTATTAATATCTTCATGAACCTAATTCAAAGAAGAATGACAAAAAGGCACACCTTGATAAGGTAGTATATAAAAATAACAGCCAGCCTATCAATCAAATTTTTTATTTATTGTCCTGACAAAAAGAGCAGGGTACCGCTACTTAATTAGACAATAACAGAGAGAAAGGTTACGTCCACTCAGTCTCAGCCAGCTGAATAAATTATGATCTGATCATATCATGTAGCATGAATTGGACACATGAAGTCTGAAATATTGGGTGTTATCACTTAAGCCAGATGCTTCTCCCGATGAAGAGATTCATCTAGTACGGATGATTAGCAACGAAATTTATGTGCCTACCCTGTTTACTCCTAACATATGAAACAACATTAGGGCATGGAGAGATCAAGGTTAATATTTAAATTAAAAACAAACTGATACTGTTTAGTTTGCCAAATTCAAGATGCATGAATGAACAATTTATTTTGCTAACAAGACAGACAAATTCAAGATGTGGTTGACTAAAAAGCACATATAATAACTTCTAGATTGAACAGGATATAGCAATGAGACAACGATGTAAACTAGAGCCCAAGCTTTTCAGGTATAATTACATAGTACATATTTTTGAGGACCTGAACCAATGTAAACTCTTTGTTCTTTAAACAAATACATTATCGTAGGTTACCACCAATTGCCTTAAAATCACATTATCGACAAATAAATTAGTGAAGCACTGAATTTTTGTACCTTCATAAAAAACTAAATATATATCATTGTACCTACATGTTTACAACCATGAGGAGTTTAAAACACATAATGGGAGAGAGGCATAGACTAAGAAACTCACCACGTGTGTAGAAAATAGATGGACGAAGCAGATTGCCACTATGATTAGAGAAGGAATATTCTTCATCTCCACTTTTCTCGGCAGAATTCTTGTAGAAATCTTGCGGCTGGAAACTGCAGTGAGGAGAGTCTTTCACTTCATTATCATCTATGTCCATGGATTCTTTAGGGTGGCTAACATCATCTTCCAACAATTCTTTGTCGTTGGCGATAGAAGTGTTTGAATCACATTGTAAAGAGAATTTGGCTCCTCCAGCTTCAAGAGCATCATGCCCCTCGGAATTATCAATAGACATGTAATTTCCGTCCGGAACTTCTGATTGGTAGGAGTTACTAGAACAGTCCAACTCTGTCAACTGTAACTCCTTTGGAAGACCAGAATACCAGAGCTGGAAAAATGCCAAGCCAACAACCAAATTTGAGATTGGGTCACTCTCAAAACCACGCTCCTGCATAAGACTGATTAATATTTCATTATTGGTGCTCTAATTCGATGTAAAAGCTAATCCTAGAACATTTAAGATTAGAGCTATCTTGAATTCATCTATGTGGATTCTAGAGTAACAAGTGCACTATCCAATACTTCTAAATGGATACTAATTTATGAATAACGCATTAAATTACTTCCAATCAGGGACGGCATTGTCTAAAACTAGCAAAACTAAAACCAAATGTATAAGAAAATTAAGAACATACCATAGAGCAGCCTGATGTGCATCCTCAGTCCTTCCATGCAAGAGAGAGAAAATAATAAATTCCAATTGGACAGCAAACCTATCCTGCTCAGCACTCAAAATTTCAGTATTGCATTAACCTGAGTTTGCAAATTAGAATTCACAAAAACGAAATAAGAATCCTTTTGTAATTGACTTGTTCTGGACTCGAATGCAACTTAGGATTGCATCACCTTATCCACCAAGGTAGGAAAATTTCTACAGTATTGAATTAAACTGAGTTTGTAAATTACAATTCACATAAACAAAATAAGAACCCTTCAGTGATCGACTTGTTCTAGACTCAAACGTAACTAGGGATTGCATCAACTTATCTACCAATGTAGAAAAATCTCTTCCTCCTTTCATTAAAAAACCATTTTGTTATATTGAAAATATACCAAGAAGAGAGCAACAGAAGACACTACATTTAAAAAATCAAAATCTCAGTATTTCATGAGTAGACGAGGATATCTATTATCAAATATTTCATGGAAGAATACATTTTTAGTAATCATTCAAGAAACAGTTTTTCCGTATTGTACCTTCGTTGGCCAATTTTTCAGACGGCCAATCTTTTTCATCCACAGTTCATAGAGATTTTGGATTCTTCTAGGGTTGATAGTTTCCCCTTTTATGTAGTTGAGAAGCTCCAGGGCAGCCTGCAAATATTGTGGATATGTCTATGCAATCAACAAACATATACTATTGGTATCCAGAAAGAGTTCAATCATATCTGACTCTGATCTTTGACTGAGGCTCTCTTCCTATGTGAAGGGCACTTCTTCAACTATAGTCCATCATTGAATTCTCTTTTACACTAAAAGAACGCGCAACATCTATGGAGGTCTCTTGTGAAGTTTTTGCTAGAATGCATGTTAGAATCCCCTTTTATAGTGTTCTGGTAGATTTCCAGCACCTTTTAAAGCCAAATCGCGTAAAATGTAGTTTCTCAAATTATGATTTGCAAAGTTTTACCACCTTATATGCAAGACTAGAATTTTAAACTTACTAGGGGCCACTGTTGTCTCTCTGGAAACTTTGCAATGACATGTTCATAATTTTTTCAACTTTCTTGACTAAAACTAAAAGGTTGTGACAGTTGTTATCATTGATTAAACAAAGCATATTAATTTATCACTTCGGTTACAATGTCTTAGTAAATTTGCTTAATAGTAGTTACATACTTACATCAAACTTAACTTAAAAAGCCCATAAATACAGATTATGGGGAAAAAAAAAAAAAAAACTAAACATGATAACAAAATTAAAATTAGAAGATAATGAGGAACTGAATTTAATACCGAATACTTGGTGCGATTGCGTGATAGAGACTGGTCGTGGCCAGTTCCTTTGAGCAGCACACTAAGCACGCCGCTCGCCTCCGCCCAATTGTGTCGCTGGAGGAGTTTTTTCAACAGCCGCCACAGCTTTTTTCTGTGGATGGAGCGCAAGCTTTCGCCCCCGTATTGCAAGCTTCCAATCCCTCGCTTCAGGCAATAGCTCGGTTTGTTCTTAGCCAATATGATTCCGTTTGTTATCCTCACCTTCGTGGAGTGCTTCACTGTGTCCTCATTGTTTCCATGGGGATTTCTTGGCGCTCTTCGTTTGGGTTTCTTGGGTAACTCGGCTTCTTCGCCCTGACTTTCGGTTTCCATTTCTGATTCTTCTACCATATTCAGGCAAGCAAGGAGAAGCAATTCCTCTGCAGCTGGAGACTGGTGAAATAGGAGAAAGAAGGAATTGTTACCAGCGATGCAGAGTGATGGGAGAGATTCAACAAATGAAGATGGGGAGAATCTGAAAAGTTTTGACTTTTAGAATTCATAAAATAAAGTAAAAACCCTAGCCGTTTTAAAACCCTAAAAGCATACTAGAGAATTTTATTTTTAAAAAAATAAATGCTTTCGTTGAGAGTCGAACTCAAGACCTCCCGCTTACTAAACGGGTGCTCTAACCAACTGAGCTACGAAAGCAACCGTTTACTGGAAGCAAGTCAATTTATTAAATTTAATTAATAAGTCAATCTTAGCTAAACACGGTCCTTTGTTCTTAGCGAGTGCCGGTCCAACAAACCGCGATTTCACCCAATCCACCGAACGTCGCGCTTTCTCTTTCTGGGTTTCAATCCTCTGAATTTGCTTCTGTTCATATTAATCAGTCGAATCACAAGCTTCTCACTTTTTGAAGTTAAATACTAATCAATTATGGATTGTGAAAATGAATCCCGGAGCCCCGAATTTCCTGCGGACTTGAAGTACCAATCGGGCTTCGGGAACCATTTCTCGTCGGAGGCTATTGCTGGAGCTCTCCCTCGCGATCAGAACAATCCTCTCGTCTGTCCTTACGGCCTCTACGCGGAGCAGATCTCCGGCACCTCCTTCACTTCCCCTCGCAAACTCAACCAGCGCAGGTTAATGGTTAATGCTTTGAAGAATCTATTTTGTGTAAATTTTGATGATTTTGTATTTGATGTATGTTGAGCAATTTTTGTTTTGGCAGTTGGTTATATCGCGTCAAACCATCAGTTACTCATGAACCGTTTAAACCTAGGACCCCCAGTCACGGGAAGCTTGTGAGTGAATTTAATGAATCAAATAGTTCTGCTACGCCAACTCAGCTACGGTGGAAACCGGTGGACGTTCCTGAAGCGCCGATTGATTTCATTGACGGATTGTACACTGTTTGTGGAGCTGGCAGCTCGTATCTTCGGCATGGTTTTGCAATTCACATGTAATTGGTATTCCGTGGTTTTACTTTGCTGTTTTGCCATTTCGTGCCATCGAATTAAAACAAAATTGAGGTTCTTACGTGTGTATAGGTCAGCTTTTATTTAAATATGTTCCATTCATCATCTGTTCCATTGACTTTAAGATTTTTCATTTTTTCTATTGCATCACATTGTTGCTGTGCATTGACATTATTTATTTTGTTAAGGGCACAGATGATATAGGCCTTGTGTGAGCCATCTTTTTGTAGAATGGGAATGAAAAATATAGCCGAGACCACCCAAGAGATAGAAATTTTGAATTTAAATGTAGATGTGATGGATAACGATCATATTTTTCATTTTAATGAGAAAATAAGGTGGCCAAACGGGGGCATAGTCTTAATTCAAGATCTGTTATGGCCTTGTGGCCAAAGGAAGTCCTATAAGCAATTAAGCATGAGATTGGTTTTGATATTAGCAGCCAACTTTGCATTGAAAGCTATTAGCTCAAACTATTGTGTCTCCATATCATCTAACCTTATCAATAAATGATTTTTTGATGTTAGACTTCCATTTATTCCATTCCAGTCACCCTGACTCCGATTCACCGAGATTTGCTCTAACTCTCCCTTGACCCAAAGATCTACCCATATGGGATTTTGTGCTTTAACCCTTATTCCAGTAGTATGTTATTCTACAGCTCTCTTGTTCTAAAATTATTTTTAGTGCGCTGATTACAATCTATGGATGCATGTTCCAAATGGCTTCATAGTTTTGTTCTTCCCAAGAGTGCCACTAGGGGCTAAATACTGAGTTGTAGAATTCAACTATTATGGGCTATGTTGCTACTTGATAAGAGTAAACAAAGCAATAAAAGGAGATTTAATTTCTGGTACACAACAATCACCAAAACACACCAGCACACTTATTGAGATGAATTATAAAATGATGTGCATGTTAATGCTAAGAACTTGTTCTTAGTTTAACAAGTGTCAAGCAGAAATATGTATCTCAACATTATTACTAAAATACTATAGCTTTGATACTTTCTTGGATCTGGAGTTATTTTTATCATTTTTGGTTAATGGATCTCCCTTGATTGAAATGTCAAAATTCTTAATGCTATTGTCCATCATGAAAGTGAATGAAATTGTGGATGTATGCAATCTTTAAGCTGACAATCATACTTGTAAATCCAGGTATGCTGCTAACAAATCGATGGACAATTGTGCGTTCTGTAGTGCTGATGGTGACTTTTTAATTGTTCCCCAAGAAGGAAGTAAGTGGTGCCCAATATATGCAAGTTCAACTTTTTTGCATTAGTTGTGTTTGCCATTTTTATTGAGCTTGAAGATATTGTTCGATAAGTAGAATCCACTTAGATTTGTTAGCTGTTGCTATTTTTAGAAGGCAGCTAATAATTTCCTTCATTTTTGTAGAATATCTCATACATATCAAAAACCTGTTAACTCTGTACATGCATTTGTCAATATTGTGTTTCTTATTCTCCTTTTCCTACCAGTTTACCTCATGGCAAGTCCCTTTTTGCCTTACATCTGGGATTTAGCCAAATCATTATATGAGCACCATTTTGTTACGGTTGTCTCATGCTTTATATATACTTATTTGGAACCTCTATTTCTCTATTGTCCTTATTTAGGGCTGTGGGTAACAACTGAATTCGGAAAATTTCAAGTATCTCCTGGTGAAGTAGTTGTTTTACCTCAAGGGGTGCGGTTTGTTGTTGAACTACCAGATGGACCATCACGCGGCTATGTAGCTGAAATATTTGGAACTCATTTTCAACTCCCTGATCTTGGACCTATAGGTGAATCAAAAAATTTAAGTTCTTTATTTTCCTTGGGCATATTTCATCCGGCTCCAAACCAGAAAAATAATTTTATTGTAACCATGGTGTGTATTTTCGTTTGTATAGGGGCTAATGGTCTTGCTTCTCCAAGGGACTTTCTTGTTCCTGTGGCCATGTTCGATCAGAGCTCCCATCCCGGATATGTGATTGTTCAGAAGTTCGGCGGTGAACTCTTTACTGCAAAACAAGATTTCTCCCCATTCAATGTTGTAGCGTGGCATGGAAATTATGTACCTTACAAGGTGAGCATTTTTACTTTTTAGATGCCAGTCCTGTTGGAAAAGAATGGGGACTGTTCAGCAAACTCTCTTTATCTAATTTATTTAGGTAACATGGTGAGTCAGTATTCCATGTCTTTTGAAACCTGATTTCTTCTTGTTTTCAGTATGATCTAAGCAAATTCTGCCCATACAATACCGTCTTGATTGATCATGGCGATCCATCAATAAATACAGGTGGGTTTCTTATACAAGGTTTTTCTTCACTATCTTCTGTTAGCTGATTATGACCCTGTCCATGACTAATCACAATTCCTTGGCATGGAAATTCTGTTTTGTTTCACTTTTCTGTTAAGTGCAGTGCTGACTGCTCCTACTGATAAGCCTGGAGTGGCTTTGCTTGATTTTGTCATTTTCCCTCCTCGGTGGTTGGTCGCTGAACATACATTTCGTCCTCCATATTATCATCGCAACTGTATGAGTGAATTCATGGGTCTAATTTATGGCGGATATGAGGTACAATATATGTTATGTAAATTTGATATTCGTGCCTTGGGGATATTCAAAATCGGATATATTTCACTGCCTTTTTGCCCTTTCATTTGTATAAACATTCAATCCTCTTTTTAGGCAAAAGCAGATGGGTTTGTTCCAGGAGGCGCAAGCCTTCATAGCTGCATGACTCCCCACGGTCCCGATACTAAAACATACGAGGTATTATACCTGCTTGCAGCTCAAAAAGAAATTCAATCACTTTTTGGCATGTAGGTGTCTTTTTACTTCCATAACAACGCCTTCTCCGAGTTGTTTCTGAACGCGAACTAATAAATTCTTTGATGATGTACTTCTGTAACTTCTGTTCTGTGGTCCTGCTATATTTAGACCTTTTCTTATTTATTTTAAACAGGCAACAATTGCACGTGGAAATGAAGCAGGGCCTCATAGAATTGCTAATACTCTTGCCTTCATGTTCGAGTCATGTCTAGTTCCTAGGGTCTGCCGATGGGCACTTGAATCCACCTACATGGATCATGATTATTACCAATGTTGGATTGGTCTGAAGTCCCATTTCACATGTGAACTTGCAAAAGAACAAACCCAAGACTTACAGAACGGGCTCGAAGAGAAGAAATGAAAGGCGTTTGTACCCGAGATGGTGATGGAGTAAGAAGGTTGCATCAACATGTTCCTCAAGTTGAGAGTCTAGCTTGTACATGATAAAATTTAAAAATGCCTTGGCATTTGGCAATCAACCTATGTATAGATAGATGTTGACCAATATAAGGATGCCATGCGTTTTTGCTCAAGGTGCAATTGTATAAAGATTGTTGGATTCTAATAAACATAGGTACTTTCCCATACCGGCAGAGCCCCAGTTCTTTAACGAGCCAAAAAAAAAAAAAAAATTATGTTTCCTTTTTTTAAGCGACTTTTAACAACCCAAATTAAATTAGTGGAAATTACACAGAACAAGAGTTTTCAAGATTTAATTTCAAATTTTAGATATAAGGTTTCACTTTTCAACAATCAGATATTTTATTTTTAAATCCTAATTATTAATTATACAATTTTCATTCCAAATCTTAATCAATTTCATTCCAAACGGGCAAACCAATTTTCCACCTCTTCTAACTCTCTTTTCTCTCCGTCGTCTCACTCTCTCTCTCTCTCTCTAGAAATGAAAGGCGTTTGTACCCGAGATGGTGATGGAGTAAGAAGGTTGCATCAACATGTTCCTCAAGTTGAGAGTCTAGCTTGTACATGATAAAATTTAAAAATGCCTTGGCATTTGGCAATCAACCTATATATAGATAGATGTTGACCAATATACGGATGCCATGCCTTTTTGCTCAAGGTGCAATTGTATAAAGATTGTTGGATTCTAATAAACATAGGTACTTTCCCATACCGGCAGAGCCCCAGCTCTTTAACGAGCCCAAAAAAAAGAAAAATTATGTTTACTTTTTTTAAGCGACTTTTAACAACCCAAATTAAATTAGTGAAAATTACACAAAACAAGAGTTTTCAAGATTTAATTTCAAATTTTAGATTTAAGGTTTCACTTTTCAATCAGATATTTTATTTTTAAATACTAATTATTAATTATACAATTTTCATTCCAAATCTTAATCAATTTCATTCCAAATAGACAAACCAATTTTCCACCTCTTCTAACTCTCTTTTCTCTCCGTCGTCTCACTATCTTCTATCTCCGTCTTCTCACACTCTCTCTCTCCTCTCTCCGTCTTCTCCCCAGTGACTGGTGCTCTTGCTGGATTCACCACTTTCTGTCCTCTATTGCTTTTGCTCCAGGAAGTGTTGCTTCTAGTTCCTCTTCCAGATCGGTTGTTTTGATTCTACTGGAGCATCGTCAACGCTAGGATCATGACCCCTCCGATGGTGCCTGTCATAGCGATGTTGCTCTGAGAACGTTGTGCAGTGCCGCTGCACTGCTCACTGTCGGCAATGATGCTGAGCCACCGTTACGGTGGTGGTGTTGGCAGCGGTGATGTGGGTAGTGTTGATGAGGTTGTGGGTTGTTGGATATAGTGGTGGATATGGTTTTGTTGGCGGCGGCAGTATGTGGTGGTGGTAGATCTATGCGGTGTGTGCATGGCGGTGGTGGTAGTAGATCTGTGCGGTGCTGTGTTAGTGGTGGTGTGCGGTGGGCGATGTGGGCAAGCGGTGGATCTGCGGTGAGGTATGGAGATGGAGAAGATGGTGGTGTGCTGTAGGTGGTGCGGTGTGCGGTAGTTCTATGCGGTGTGCGGTGGTGGATCTGTGTTGCGATGGCGGCTGTGATGATGGTAGGGTTAGGGATTTTTTTATGTTGTAGGATGGGGGTGGTGGAGGTTCTGTAGAGGTGCAGTGATTGTTGGTGGGTAGTAGTGGTCGTGGTGATGTTGGTATTTTTTAGATGATGGTTTGTTGTCGAGATGTGGTGCTGATGGTTTCGGTGATTGGGTTTCAGTTGCCATACTGGTGGTGACAGTGGTGTTCACAAATTATTTGATTGTTTGTGACTATTAAATTGATTATTTTGTAATCGATAAGCAATATTTGACTAATGAAAAAGATAAATTGTGACAAAAAAATAGTGTCTTAAAAAATTATTAATTTGTGACCGATAATTTGATAATTTGTGACTTATAATATTTGTGATCGATAAATAATTTGTGACATATAAAATTTTGATTTGTGATCGGCAAGTAATCTGTGACCTATAAAATATCTTATTTGTGACTGATGAACAAATTGTGACGTATAAAATTTTTGAATTGTAAACGTAAAATAATTTGTGATGTTTCAATTTTTTATTTGTGACCAATGAACAAATTGTGATTTATAAAATTTTTGAATTGTGACTGTAAAATAATTTGTGAAATGTAAAATTTGTGATTTGTGACCAATTATATAGAATTTGTAACATTAATATATTTAATTAATAAAATATATGTTTAATTAATTAATTTATAAATAAAATTTTAAAAAATCTGAAATTTGAAATTTAAAACCTTAAAAAATCTGAAATTTGAAATTTTAAACCTTAATCTCTTAAATTTGAAATGAGTAAAATTTAACCTCTTAGTTACGAAATCTTCTTATTAAATTATTCGTAGGCCCGGAATTAAAGCTTCACAGGCCCTACATATCTTTGTACTGACCCAATTAAAATCTCATAGGCCAATCAACAATTTTTTTAACTGATTGAACTTCTCCCAATTCTCCATCACGTATTTTCAATCAAAGTTTAGGAATTTCGATCTTGACTTGTCATTGGTTGTACTTATTCTCAATTTCTCATCTATCTACAGTTCACTAAAGATTTTTTTTTTCCCTCACTTTTTGGCTATACAAATGAAGTCAACGGGTAAAAATTCATGTCATTATCCTTGACTGCATATTATTCTAATATTCTATTAATCTGAGCACTATCTATCTTTGACCGACTGCATATGTATAAATTAATTACAATTTGTATATGTATTTGATTATTAGTTTATTATGTTATTGTCTTACATATGGTTTATGAGGGTTTAGTGATTAGTTTACAATAGCTTTTGATTCTTTCATTGTAGACAGTTGACCGTCTTTGATTTACGAATTAAGACTTACGAGAGATTCATGAATATTGTACTACCTATTGGTTTATTAATTACTATGTATATATTTATGTTATAATTCTTATGAATTTACCTTTGCCGTTTGGTTAATTCACCAGTTTTAACTGTTGCCATCGTCATTTTCTTTTCCCAAGTGGTCTATCACTCTATCCCATTATGAATTCAATTGCGCTACAGGTACCCGCCCCTTCACCCCGAGGTTTACACAGTGAGCTGGCAATTCAAAATTTAAAATTGTTGTGGCTGGGTCATGATTTGAACCGCCCAATTAGAAAAGTCTGTGAGTGAGGCTGAGTCATTTCCCACCTTTCATTCCTTTTGCATTTCAGTTTCCCCCCAATTGAGAGAAAACCCTTGAGGCGAAATCGTGTCTCCTGCCATCCCTTCGCCATCGCCACCAGGAGAGTAAGCTGGTGGAAATTATCATTTTAAAGACTTCGATCGCTGTGCGCACCAACATATGGTGGTCGTTGTCCCCCGAATCGAAGAACATTATTGGAGGCGAAAACTGAACGTGAAGGACGGCACTCCTCCATCTCGACCGGAGTAAGAAGCTTGTGAAAATTTGTCCTCGTCAAATCGATCAATCTCGCAGCTAACATTATGTAAGCATGTTGTGTTTCGTATCCATTTTCTTTGATTTTACTGTTGTCGAAAAATACATAGGTTTGAAGATTTTACAGTGGTTTCTAGTTGTTGTAAACATTATGTAATGTGTCATTTCGTCTTGTGCAGTATGTCAGGGAAGAACTCCGGCGTTTGTCACAGTTGCCGCGAGGAAGGTCACTTCTTTTCTGAATGCTTGAAAAAAGGGCAATGCCCTTGGTGTAAAATCGGCTTCGTGAAGTGCTTTGAGGTCGAGAAGGAGACGAAAAATAAGGGAAAATTGTTCAATTGCTGCAGTGCTAAATGTAAATTTTGGGAGTGGGTTGACGAGGGAGAATCAAGCTGCGGATCAAGTGGCATTACAGTGAACGCGAATAATCATGCTGCAGTCCAAGAAGATGAACATATCTCTCGCATATTCCAAACTCGTTGTCGGGTATCTGAAGAACAAAGCATTGAGATTCGATTGACAGTGACAATACACAAGGCCAATGAAAGCACGTAAGTGGATAAGAAAGGGAAGATACCGGCATGATCCGTAGTTATGTTGTCATTGGTTTCGCTACCTAAAACTTTTGATATGTTAGTATGTGTTGTGTTATCTGGAGTTGGTGCACTGTGTTGTGTACTGAATGTGGAGTTAGTGGAGTGTGTTGTAGAGTTGGTGTTTAGTTAGGCGACTGTAACTTGTGTATTGAAGGATGTTTATATGGGGAATTATGTGCAGTTGGTGTTCTTCACTTTAGTATTTGGGAAGAATATGTAATGTCAGTAATGTCATTTGGAGGAGGTAGTGTAGCTTGTGTTCATTCACTACTTGTATCTTAGTTGTGTTAATGTGAATGAAAACATTTTGTTAATTCAGTACTTGCGTTCATTTAGAAACTGGTTTATTCCATGTTAATTCAATGCTTGTGTTAATTCATAAACTGGATGAAGTATAGGAAGGGAGAAAAAAGCTTAATTTCAGAAACTGCAACAGAGCTACAAAATGCATCCATTGTAACTTCATAACCTATTACACTTTGTTCAACTTCATAACCTATTACAAAAAAGAACATGTTTACAAGATGCTTGGGCCTCCTAAAAACTTCATAAGCCATTACAAAAACAGAACATGTTTACAAGATGCTTGGGCCTCCTAAACGATGTTGTTGCTTCCATTGTTACACAACATGTTTTCGTCACTTTGGTGAGGTATGCTTGGATAACAGAACGGCATTTCGTGTCCATCTGAAAAAAGGGCAAAATTTATTACGGAAACTGGAGTTTGATTTTAAATAAATTACGTGTGATTAACACATACCTTGATCATGTGCGATCGGCGCAACCTCTCCCAGATTACTTGGGCATACCTTCTGTCCCCTTCCCTTCGCCGAAGTCCGATGTGTCTACGTAATCAACA